ATATCTTTTTTTTGACGCTTTCGGCAACTTAGATGATTCTACCAATGACAATTTTGGGAGTGCATCACACCCACAAAATTAAATTGAAAAGTGGAAGCGCCAAACAGATGACTTATTCACAGAAAGTAAATCGAGTATTCTGATCATTTTGAAGAGGCCAACAGCTGTCATAAATTCAAGTTTTGTTTGATTCAACTCAACACGAGGGCTCGACAATTGGTTATGTGCCCATCCTGGGTAAGAGTGCGGACTCGGAAAACTGCTCTGTACCGACTGCTACAGTGTGCTGTAATAACCAGATGCAGAATTGAAAGGAATTTTGTTATAGGTCATAGGGCATTACTCTTTCTTGTGACTGGCTCCAAATCAGCTCTTACATCATTCAGGATATCACTGAACTGCATTTGCTGCCATCACTTTGCATGCTGGTTTACAGCTGCCTTTCAGAAATGCTATTTCACAATGGGGTGGGGTGGGGGGATCAGCCTGCAAAATTGCTCTCAGGTTTGATGAATCACAAGACATGAGCTAAATCAATCAATTTGCATACACTCCAACTAGAATGGGCAAAATGAACTGCGCAGTAACTTGGCAGACTTGATCCTGGTTGTACCCAGTTGACAGGCCAGCTTCCACTTCTGTTTACGTCAGCGATCAGGTTTGCGCACCGGTTTTGCAGGCGCAAACCTTTCGTAAATTAGGGCTCCTTGAGAGACACGTCCAATATTTTGGTGATCTCATCAAGCCACGCGAGAAGAGCAACATATTGGAAACAGCTCTCAGGATGTTGCAGGACCCATTTAAAAGCACAATGATCGGCACATTGTTCATTTGTCAGAGGCTGCTGGCAACGATGAACCCTTTCATTCATTCATTCATATCGGAAAGAGTTCAAAAATGCATTCCCTCTTCTAGGACAAAGCCTTTGCCCAGACTGCCTCTTGGACATGTGTCGGCTAGATTTAGATGGGTCTGATGATCGTGAACAGCCTGATCAGCAGTTATGCTTGAACCACAAAAAGAACCCCCCCCCGCCCCCACCGCCTGCACATTTTAATATTATCTAAGACTGGTGAATGCTGCCAGCTAATATATTTTACACAGATTTGGTTCTCTATAATCACGTTTTACAGAATAACTGTGTGGAGAGACTGGCATGCCCAAACCATATGGATATATTTTTCATGGTTTGCAAATTGAGGGATGCTGAGATCGTAAGATCCACTCCAGTGAAGATGACAGGCTCGGCTGAAACACGTACATCAGAAGGACAAATTTGAGGATTGCACAGTCTATAGAAAAGACAAAAGGTGACCTCATCATGAGATTGGAAGATCATATTTGTGCCCAAAATTGTTTCTCTTTCATTCGTCATGTAAATTTGTCAAACACTTGTTTGTCTTTTGAATGAATACACAAATCAGGTTCTCCACTTGTAAATTCAGAGCACCTCACACTAACAAGAACAATGGAAGAAAATGAGAGTCTGAAGAATTGCCTTGACTAAGGAGAGCAGAGTAGGCAAAATCACAAGTCACTAAACTAACTTCAACACGTTTGTCCATTGTTATATACATCAAAGCTTTTGTATTACATCCCGCTCAAGTGTATGCAGTTGCGGCCATGGACAACATGTCACATTCAGGGGCAGTAAAATTTCTATTAATCAATCATTTGTGAGAATGCCAAGACAAAATATGTAAAAAAAAAAATTTGACAACACTAGTGAAAACAAGCACTCCATAGTCATCAGTTATAAAGCAAATATGTCCCAAGTTTCCAGGAGAAGCATAGGGGGTGATTTCATAAAAATCTTATCGAAATTAGGAATTGCTGTCGATCTTCCAACAGTGCCATAAAGTTGTTTCAACAATGATAAGTCTTGAGTATCATAGGATGTACGGAGTTCATGAGCGATTCGACTGTTGTGAGGCTACGTGTCTTGGAGTGTGTGATGAGATTTGTAAAGGTGTTAGATGTAGACAGTATTTTTTTTTCCCCTGCTCAAACATTGAGGCGATGCCTTTACTCTGCGGTAGACTGAAAACATTTTGTTACGAAAACAGACGCTTGATATGGATATACCGTATTTTCTGCACTAAAAGCCTTCCATTCTATTCAAGCTCACAGCGTGCCTTAAAATCCGTTGCGCCTTGTGTATGGTCATTACGGTAATATTTCGACCCCAAAATGGCTCCTTGCTCGAGACATGCTGACAACGCAGAGTTCAAACTTAAGGCGATCCGTTACACAGTTGAACACGGAAAGAGAGCAGCGGCAAGAGAGTTCAACGTTAACCAGTCAATGTTATAACTTGCTGTTGGTTAAGTGGACTGTGTCGCTGCTTTATGAAATAAGTTTTACTGACATCTGATCGTTCTGTTTGCGTTTCCTTAAGCGTATCTCCATCTAGTGGAGGCATTGTAGGTTGTGTCTTATAATGCGGTGCGCCCAATGTATGAAAAAAAAATTACAAAATAGGGCATTCATTGAAGGTGCGCCTCATAATCCAGTGCGCCTTTTAGTGTGGAAAATACGGTAGTTGTAAATATATGGAATGCATACAAAAGATTGGTAAATGTAAATAAATGTCTGGAGCTTACTAATCGGATCGTCAAAAGTGGTTGGGAAAAAAAAAAGAGCCTGATTTAGTGAACTTGTGCCGAGGAACGTGCCCGGATAAAGCCCCCCAATCAAGCTACAGCATCCAGTGGTTTTAAACGGGTCAGGGCTGACTGCTTGTACTTGTAACGTTGTGTTCAGATGAAAGGCCTCACACAATTGTCAGCTTACACTTTGGATTACTTTGCATGACATATCAAAGAACAAAGCCATCGCTCTGCAAAATAATTCCGCCAGACCCGCCAACAGAATAGCAATGTACTTCTATCGGGATCAGATCTCATCACTTTACATGACCGAAATGCTCATCAGTGCTTCCTACCCACTAATGTGTCAGAGATGTTGGGAAGCGAAGCGCGGCTACGTCTGCATCCATATCACATGACATTTTCCGGATGCTAACAGTTCAGTTGCATTTTGCAGTTCTTTTCAGACCTGACTGCTTTCCACTGCTGTTCCAAATGATGTTTAGGATATTGTTAAAAAATAGACAGCACTTTTTTGGGAGATTTCAACTACATCTTAGATTCCATAAGCAGAGACAACAGGCAAATTCTGTACATGGCAATCCTGATTTAATCTGTAAACGTGAAATAAATATGGCTGATAATCATCACGTCACACTTTAAAGCATCATTCGTTGAATCTCAATTCTGTCATTTCTGACTTGCTTCAACGTAAATCCTTTCTAAATTCATTTGCTTGGAAGCGATTCCAATAAGATGCGCGCAGAGACGCGCGATCTGAGCAACAGAAGGCTTCAATAAACTTGTTTAGCAGAGAGACATTAAAATTAAATTAATGCGGCAGAACATGCGTGATCATAAAATTTGCAAGCACTAGGAGCTTTATCCCTGACGATACGTTTCCGTTTACTGTACATTCACTTCTGCATTCCTTGCACTCATTTAATTAACGTCACACTTCATTAACGTGTGCTTTTAATGAAAAGTCTGCTTTGCACCACCGTGTGATTTTTAAAAGCGGCTCAGTGGAAAAAGGTTACAATACAGATTTTCGCAACTGGAAGGAACGCAAAAGTTGCATCTCTCTTGTGCAGTGACCGTATACTATAATGCTCTACAGTAATTTGTGCATGTAGCTATTTTTCCCTTGGGTTAAAAAAGTACTATTTCCACTGAAAACAATTGGGTTCATGATAAAAAGACTTTTTTTTTTTTTGTCCGTACACAAAAGACAATGTAAGGTGCACCCACGGAATATAATGCAGCTGCTCATCAGCAGAGTTTGGTTCTTACAGCCATGACATAACCTGAATTCATACATAAATTCAAACTAGTCTGCACTTAAACAGTAGCAAAGTCATCATTACAGTGAAACTCCTCTACAATGAAATCATGTTTGCAGCAAGAAATTTTTCACAACAGGGGACTTTTCACTGTAGCAAATTTTATCTCAGACGTAAACACGAACACACACAAAAAACGTATGTGTACTTTTTATTTTTATTCCAATAGTGCATAAGTATGAGCATGCACTTATTTGACACTTCATATAGTCAGCATAGAAAGAAAAAAAGGGAAATAAATTGTGAAATTTACGATCAGCATTTACCTTCACTTACATCAATTTCTTGCATGATGTCTTTTATTTTGCTTCCTCGAGCTTTCATTTTTATTACCTTTATCCTGTCTTCAAGCGTTAAAGCTTTTCTTATCTTAACTCCTTGGTATGCAAAGGTCTGTTTTGTCGCCATTTTAGCAATGCCTCGTTCGTGCTGCGTCTGAAACAAATACTTTATTTTCGTCGTAGTGAATCTAGTTGTGAGGCAAGAGCAGAGAAAAAGATTTCGGATAATGGAACAGGGGGACTTTTTGTTGTAGGGGGAGCAGAAAAGTGGGAATGACTTTCATGCATGAAAATCTTTTCACACTACGGAATATTTTCGCCCATGTAGTTTTCGTTGTAGAGGAGTTTCACTGTATATGGTATGCCACTCACGTTTAGGCCCCAAATATGAAATAAACGGAAAAAAATGAAAATAGAAATGGCGCAAGTCCCCGTGTGCTGCGTGACAAGATCCTCATATATCATATTTTCAGAATTTGTTTTTGTTATTGTTTCATTGCGAGGAGGAACTATGCACAGTTGTTTGGTAATAGCTTATTGTGTGTGTTACAACACATCTCCATGTTTGACCCACTTTTATAGGGCAGCCATCTTTTGGTATGTGAACAGATGCATGGTAATGGAATGGTTGCAATCACTTCCGAGCAATGTTTTGCCACAGGCAAGCTCTTGCACAGATTCTCAGAGGAGTGACGCATAGATTACACTGCACGGAAACTTTGATTTGGAAATCCATTTGATCGAAAAGAGCTTGAGTCCCCCCCAATGCAGACAGTCACAACACCTACCTCCAAAATCAGGCCTTAAACGGATGTCATATCCCTTCAGCAACTTGTCCACGGTAGTCTTGGCCACAGACATTCCGGTGCTTCCAGTGGAGCTGGGGGCAGAAACCACAAAAATTTACATATTTACAAAAGGCTGTCATTAGTGTTTGTCATGTGGGCATTTCTTTTGTGAGTTTACAATCTCTAAAATGGAGAGAAATACACTAACTGACTGGTTAGAGAGACAAATGATAAAGTTGCCCTTTGCAGGTGTAACGGTTGCAATCTTCTGGAAAAAGATTTTCGACAAGCTTTTGGAATCTGTCCCTCTCACCTAAAAATTTGTGAGGCCAAAGCTCACTCAGGGCCTGGTTCAGTACCAGTCGCTGTTGTAGTTCATTTCAGATGTTCTTGATATGGTTGAGGTCAGGGTTTTGGAGTTCTAATACAAGCATACCTTGAGGAATTTTGCTATATGCGGTGGGCCACAGTCATGCTGGAAGGTTAACTTGTCCCACATTTTCAAAGTGTCTTGATGAGATAAATAATCAAGATGATGAGGTTGTAATCCTAATCGGCTGGGAGGCAATATAACATGAAAAGTGTAATTGACATTAATCTTACGTTTGGGGTTTAACCCTTTTGAGGACAGCGGTTACTACACTTATTGAGGCATGAAAGGGTTAAACCAAAACAATACAAGTCAAAACTGAAGAGAAATGCACAGCAACAACAACAAAGCATCGGCGAGTTCCTTATCTTCCTAAAGGAGTGGTTCGGGGCAGAGTGAGTGCTGAAGCTTCACTCGACCATCTCATAACATGCACAGGCCCTGATACAGCTCGCTATCATGTATATTTATGTCATCGGTTCAAGCAATGAATATGCAGCTGTCTAGTATTTCATGGAAGCAGGCCATCCAAAATAGTAAATGTTCCAGTCATAAGGCTGCATTTGCATAATCGCATGCAGGGTTACAATAACCACTTCACACGATGCTGTCGAGACACAGGTTAGGTTGGCCGGAGCGCGGAGACAGAATATCCCCGGGAGCATCATTTAGTCAGCACTCGCCTGACTAACATCTTTAACCCTCCCGTTACGTTGCTTCTCAGGAATAACAAGACTGCTCCGGAACTTCCGGGCATGTTTAATTCCCCTAAAGTGTTAAAAAAAAATAAAACAATAACAAACAAACAAAAATCTTAATTAACACAGCTTGCAAAATGTGTGAAATATATTATTACAAGGTGCACTGTATATGCTGATTATACGTTTAGCAGATGTTTTAATTTAAAAAAAAAAACTAATTTTGCTGCTGTATACTGCAAATCTCTCCAGTGTGGGACAAATAAAGGTTATCTTATCTTATCTTATCTTAAAAATATTTAACCTGCCACTCAACAGGAAGGTTAACATTTCGTCCATGACCTGCATCACCTCAAAGAAGACCGGGGGCTCCAGGTAACAGGGTAGGTGTGGAATGGGATTTAGCAACAAGGGAACGGGGTGGGGGATAAAAATACCTCCCCTGGTAGGAAGACTATAGCCAGCGGCTTAGTGAGGGGATACGCTGCTCAATTAGCTCGGATAGGAAGTGCAGCTGTTCATCAAGCTGGATGCTCACACAGAACCTGTGGGTTGGACACCCTAGGGCATCATAACAAGAGGGAGCTGTATGACAACTGACAAGATTGCCCACCTGGCTATTTTTTTCCCCTCCCAATTCCGGAATATATTCTAAATGAGATGTCAAAAGATGCAATCGAGCCTTAAGAGATGATTCTTGAGGCGGTGGGTGACTGCAGACAAGGCAAAAGAGCAGGCCACAAGGGATACACCGTACATCACTGCCTTTAACGACAAAATTAATTGTCGGGGGGATTCTGCCTGCTGTGATTATGCTTTATATGATTCAGTGGAAACACTTGAAGGTGAAGATTTAATTGAAAAACCTCACACAGTGCTTTCTGACTGAGGTAGAAGATGACCAATGGGGTTATTTGCCTATCTATTTCTGATTGATACACCGTTTACCACCAGCCAGTCAATAATATTCAAATGTTCAATATGTAATATGGAAATAAAGCAAGAATGTTCACTGGGAACTTTAAGGGCTGATATTAAACGTGATTTTCTTACCCACATCAATCAAAAAAATCAGGCCGATGCAATCAACTCATCAGTACCTCCTGCAGCCCCCCCCTCCCGCCTCCACGAGGTCTCCCTCTTTAGGTGGAAATATTGCATTATAATGCACGTAATTGTGAACATTGCATTTTGGTATCGAGGAGGTGCACACATGGCGCGCGCCACGGCAGCGTCTAATAGCGCGCGTTGGAAGCAATGGTTCTAATAAGCAGGCCTGGGCACCTCTTTATTGCGATTTGTCACATCCCAGCCTCTGATTGACCGATAATCACATCGATTGGTGTGAAAGGTTGTTTTTTTTTCCCGAGCGACGTTTTCTTACCTTTGAATAAAGCATGCGAAGGACAAAGCCGCCAGAGCAGAGAAAATTCCACATAATTTATCTTCTTGACGACCCAACATCTCCACAAATCCTTATTTCTAGTATCTATAATCCAACCAGTCCAGTGGTCCCTCCGGTAAATGCACAAACTAAAAAACGGGCAATGGGGGTTCAATGTCGAGTAAACTAGCCTACATCTACGCATGCGACGTCTTCAAGCAGGCTTCTCGGTGTCAAAAATCTTAATAATTGGCCCCCGCTATGGAAATCCGTGCAGGTCGCAGAGCCCCTCGACCAACACCAACAGATCGGACATCTTGCTCAAAAACAACCGCACGCACTAAATATAAAAAAAAAAAAAATGCCAAAACGCGATGCCAAGAATGTCGAGAAAACAGACAGAAAGTAGTCTCAAATCGGTGGATGAAATTTCCCGGTCCAAGTGTGCACAAGAGGCATGTTTGCAGCTGCGGCAGCGGTGCTACACGGGAACCAGACGTGCTGTCGTTCAACCTTTATTTCTTTGAGCTGGGAGCGGTGGACTCAAAAAAAGAAAAATGAAATCTTCATTCCCCGCTTGCCCCCTCTTGTCGCTGCTGCAGATGATGATGGAGATCAGCGCAAAGTCACTGAGGGGAAAATGCACATTCGGGAGGAACGGGGGAGGCGGGGGGGGGGGGGGGAAGCAGTAAGCAAATGGGTAATATCTGATGCAGACGTCACAGCAGCCTATATATCACCGCTCTCAGAGAAAGAAATTCCCCTAATATGACAACGCAGCGTGTATTCGAGATTCCCCCTCACAGTTGCGAAGATATTAATGAAGTCCACTTGTCTCCCGTGCAGGTCCAGCCTCAAATGGCGATTGGACACCTTAACGCGGTTCACTACTCGTCTCCTCCTTGAACCACCGCACGACTGACAGCGATCCAAGCATCCAGAGATATGGCGTGCATTTCCCCCACTTCTTCACCTCTCATCTATTTTAAAAGTTCTCAGCTCCGAAATGAAAATAAATATCCGGCTGGAATGGGGAGGAGAAAAGGGGAGGAGGGTGTGTGTGTGTGGGGGGGGGGGATAGAAAGAGAAAGACCCCCCCAACCCAACCCAACCCCCTCCCAACTCACACACGCGCGCGCGCGCGGAATCTGTGCTTTACGCATGGCGTCCACAAGAAAACATCGGTGACGTATTTCAATTTGTCTCCGTGAACGGGTGTAAACAACAAAACCTTGGTGGCAACGGCTAACAAGCAAGCGCCACACCACCATTCAAGTAGAATACAAGCTTGTGTTTTATACAGAGGAGGAGGTTTTCTTCTGGGATCGCTTTGCTGTCCAGTTGCTAAGCAACCTCATTCGGCACTGATGCAGTTGTGGTGATTCGAAGGCTATGCGCAAAGGCTCATTTAAATGAATAGACCCGCTCCTGTAACCGCCGTGCATGGTGTCAGTGGGACAAAAGAAGACAGCAACTGATCTACCGTGTTTCCATTTTGTTGAAAAAAAAAATAGGAGGAGGGGTCTTCACAATAAGACGGACAGGAAATCAAACTGGCTAGAGGGCCGCTATATATACATTCTTCTTGTGGATCATCAGCGGACTCTTCCTCGTCACACTTTCATGGAGGTTTTATTTTCAAATCCAACAGTTGTCGTCTGTTGCCGGAATTTCTCAACATCCATTTGCCTCCGTCCACGTTATTGAGCCACAATTTAATTGTGCATGACGAAACAGCATGAGCAAACAAGAAAAGGGGAACACTTGAAACATCAAGTAGCATGTCAAAAGCTCCATGTTTGATCTCATATGAGACATTCTCCCAGGATCTTTCTGACTCATCAATATGCCTGATCTGGTTTCATCAGTTTTTATGTTATTTCAGTGACAGTGCTGGGTTTACCCAAACCTTCTTGATAGACGGTACACGCAGTTATGCCCATGTGACCACAACGTGAGGTTTACCTATAGAATGTAAGTGCTTCATTCATAATTTTGCATTTACAAATACAGAACAAACCGCAGCAGACCTCTTTCTTGGAACTGTTGACAAAAGTTAAAAACCAAAAAGTGGAGCGTAATGATTTTCTTTGGCGGTCAAGATGCTCATTCCGGCTCGTTATGGTGATCCACATCATTTGGCACGACTCACACAGAGCGATGCGACCGGACAAGACGGAACTTGATCATTGCTTTTTCTGTTGCTGGTCCCTCTCTCTGGAATGACCTCCCACTGAACATTCGGCAAGCCTCCTCGCTGCCCATCTTCAAAACCCGCCTCAAAACTCACTTGTATTCTTTGGCATTTGACTCAGCATGACTTAGATTGTTCTTGGTCTTGCTGTTCGGTGCTTTCTACTGTTTTTATTACCGATTTGCTTTACTATTTGTTGTATATGTTAATTTGCTCCATGTACAGCACTTTGTATGCAGCGATGGCTGTTTGAAAGTGCTCTATAAATACAGTTGAGTTGAGTTGAGTTGAAAATTGCTAACAAATTAACTTTCAACTTGCACGCACACCAACCGACATCCCTGAACTTGCTGCGACAAAAACAATGCAACTCATGGTCTTCTTATATATATATATATATATATATATATATATATATATAAAAACACGTTACCGTTGAAAGCCACAGACAGGCTTTAAAAGACATGCACATGCAAAAATAATCAGAATAATAATAGAAAATTGACAAACGGGCACTTTGGGCATCAATGTAAAAGGGTGCGGGTGCTACAGTGCTCAAAGCCCACCATCTGCACTTCAATGCCAGTGAGTGTTATCTATGATGTGATTTTTGGGAGGAATTGTACGCACCATAACGTTGCTTGCAACACTCACTTCCAGCATACTGTAATAATACATATTGATCACAACCAGGGAGCCAAAAGTCTGCAAGGTATACTCAGTTATACCTCTAATATGCTTCTCAGAGTTTGAGAAGTGGTATTTTCCGATGTGGACAAAGTTTGTAAAAACACAGGATGGATGCAAAAGAGGAGGGCACGACAGCTGCTTTAATACATTAAGGAATGAGTTTGTTGTGATTCAAATCTGGGTAAAAGCCGACACTTTCATGTAATGCCTCCCAAGGGAGAGGTTTGTAAAATTTACTGGTACATCAATACCTATTTAGGACTACCGAGGTGCTCCTACTTTTTAAGCATTTTTGTATGAAATAAATATAGTAACAGTGCTTAAAGAAAACACGGTCATGCTGATGTACAAAATAGTTTTTAGTAAACACAACAAGAAACCATTTTCCAAAGGCTGAAACTGGTTTATTATGTACAAGTAGTTGGGGTTTCATTCCACAGCTATATTCACAAATTTAAATGTTAATGTGGAGTAGGCAAAGCTGCTTGTGTCCTAAATTATTCCCACTGTTTGGGATAACATATATCAAAAGTTACCCAATCACAGCAAAAGTCGACAATCCATTTAATATTATACCAGTTAAAATCTCTGTAATATGAGCTACAATGTTATTTAAAAAAAATGTGTGAGTGTGTTTGTGAATGGTTGTTTGTCTATGTGTGTGGATGGCAAACGGTTCAGGGTGTCCCCCACCTACTGCCCAAAGACAGCTGCGACAGGCTCCAGCACGCCCACGACCCTTGTGAGTATAAGCGTTTTGGATCACGGATGGATGGATGTACTTGTTCAACACTATTTTTTTATGTGAAACTATTTCTTGAGTACAGAATGTCACAGTGGAGAAAATTGGCGCTACAACAGCAGTGTAACTGAATACAAAGAGAATCCACGAGAATGTTTGTGATGTACCTGGTCACTTTGTCTGATATTGGCACTTCCTGTCATAATTCGTTAACTGTCGTCAGAATTTATAATATGGGGATTCTAGATCACGCATGTGCCATGCTCTCTCCGACTTTGCTTCATTCACATGTTGCATAACATGCGAGTTCCCGGGTCAACCTTGTTGCTCAGATATAAATAGCATCACATGGTTAATGCATTGGTGTCTTCCAGTCATTCGCTTTTCCTCTTTCTATTCACGTCTGTCAGTCAACCTGGTCGTCTCTAGGAAACATAATGGGTCCTATTTTTGGAGACAGGCACACATGCGCCTCGCGTAAAATCAGGCATATCTTCATCTTCGTACTGGCAATAATCCAGTTTACCAAATTGGGGAATTTGGCAGACCGCACTGCACCTTGTTTGGCTTTCCGGCAGACAGAGGGGGTTTTCTATTCCATGCCCTCGGCGTGTCCGACAGTTTGGTTACAGAAAGTAGACGAGACTTGATACCAGGCGAAACCAGGTCCAAGCTGTGGCGCAGGTGGTGTCATGTGATTTTGGATGGATTTGATCCAGGCTGCGCTCTGCCGATGTGTGGTGGACGTCAATGTATTTCATTCATAAATAGGACAAATACAGTTAACTAGCATCGAACCCTCTGAATCACTGCAGAAATCAATTAATCCAACGCATTGACCGCGGCCATTTGCATCACAGCCAACCCACTGGGTACCACCATGCTTTTTAGAGGATTTTGACCTTTCGTCGAAGGCAAGGCCAACGAAATATTGTCTTCTATGGCTCCATAAACATGGAACCTACCAGAAGAAAGATTAGACTTTATTCTTTAATTAGTTAAATTTTTAAGGGGTACTAAACATATTTAGTCATTTTCAGCAGTAAAAAGTGAATATTTTGTCCATCATGAAGATCATAACTTGTACAATTAACACCTTTAAAAACACACGTTGCCACTTATGCTAGGTACGGTACACACTGCAGGCAAATGCGACCCAGATCGGATTTTTTTTGCCCATATGCGACCTGTTACGGATTTTTTTTTCATAATCGTCTGAACTGAGCTGGGTGATCAAATCTGCAAAGCTGTTTTGAATAACAGTGTCGACTTGATATTTGACTTTAATTAAACTCCACTTGAAACATGAAGCATGACGTGGACATTTATGGTGATAGTCGTAATTCAGCCACACAGACGGCTCATTTGTTAGGAGTGACAATGACGTGACGTCATCTTTAGTAAATGTCTCCCAAGATCAAAAAGCCTCGCCTCATTTCCCCAAAATATTTACACCTCATTTCGCATTGCTCCTCCTCTACATGCTGAACCACATCAAATTGTTTAAACACTACATTGTGAGTGATGTCATCTCGGGTCTCTGAGGGGATGCGTTTGGGTCACACACAAGACAGAGGTTGAATCTAATATGCAATGTGAATGCTTATACACACAAAAAAAATATGAATTCAGCATTAAGACCTGTGGTGTGAATCTAGCCTTACTGTTGACCGAAAATGACATCAGTTGTGTTCCCTCGCGCACAGCACAAACACCCATTTCTAACTACGTCATGCCATGAAACTGACCCATGCACATAATTACACCCCACTTTGCACTAGACTTGTGCTGGGCACAAAAACGGGGCCCAATATGGTTAATTGACTTATTGATGAGACTCTGCATCTGTGATTTTGTCATGGAAAAATCTCACGCACTACAAAGACACTTTATTAGGTACACCCACCGACTATAATAATAGTAAAAAAAATGATGAACAGACTTTTGTTGATTCCTCATGTTTTACCTTATTTTAATACTAGTTGACCACTCTCTCTCCTGAGTTGCATGCTGGTAGAGAAAAGCTATTCCTCAGAGACAATGAAAGTGCATGCGCTGAGTCACCGTTGGACATTCAATCAATGCAGCAGGTGTCTCCAGACTAATACAAACCGTACTCTTAAAATGGGAGTATAGTGACTCACGTTACCATTCAAAACACCTACAAAGACGGTTTCGTTTTAGACACTGATTCTATATGGTTTTGTCAATGAGAGCTTTAGAGACAGCTGAATTGTCTTGCATTTGTGTATTTGCGTTGAACTACGCGACATTATCTTTTTTTTTTTTTTTTTTTTTTTACATGATCGTTTCTTCTGCGGTGGACACAGGACTAGGTCAAAATCAGCGCAGCCTTTGGACTGTGC